TGCTCTTTTTAAATTTTTCCTTTTTTTCCCCTGGGGGCTCCTTATGTAGTCCAGACTAGCCTTGAATTCATGGTAATCCTCTTGCCTTCATCTCCCACATGCTGGATTATAGATGATGCCACCATACCCAGCTTGATTACCTTGCTTGAAGCTTTGGGGCTCAGAGCTGGAAGAGTTATTATTTGGGAAGTTGAGCAAGAAAAGAATGAATGTTGCTAAAGCTTAAATGTTTGCAGCTTTAGTAGAGGGGGAGGAAATAGGTGGTTCTCCTATTCCAAACTAATCATATGGGTAGACGGATAACCTTACCTAAGTGGATAGTCAGGTAGGTGAGTAAACACTGTGAAGCCATTTAGTTCTTGGAGGTCACAGATTTGGACAAATGGGTGTCTGTACTAAGTATGTGCAGTAGCAAGCAAAAGAGATCCAGTTTCAATACCCAGTGTAAAAGGAAGGTAGTTGTGCATATCACCAAACATTGCAAAGAGCCAGAGTAGAGGTGCGCAGAAGTGTCTGCAGGCTCCAGATTCTGCATCTTAACACAGGATCCTTCTGTACACTTTTGGGAACAACTCTCAAGAAAACTGGACTCTAATGTGCCCACCTATCGTGTTAACCAAGGTTAGGTGCCCAATCTCGTAGTCCTCAAACTACCTGGTAGGGGAGGTGTAGCTACCTGTAGGTGGAACTTGGGCCAACTCCCCAGCCAGGGTCTTCTGTGTTATTTCCTAACATCCCATGACTTTTGAATGCATCATCCTACTTCTGCTACCTTCACACCACTCCCACTGCTGCATCTGGATGCAGGTATAAGGAGGAGGAAGGATGTAAAGGCAACAGCAGTTTATACCAAGCTTCAGGTAGTGGGCCTTGTTCTTGTTTGCAGTACATGTCTGGTATGTACTTTCACAAATTACAGCTGTGCAGTGGTATGTACCTTTAATCATCCGAGCTACCTGGGAGGTCCAGGCAGGAGGGTCATTTATGATGACAATGCCATTGTTCTAGGCAACTTAAGAAACTGTCTCAAGATAAAAAGTATAGTACAAATGGCTGGCGGTTTAGTTCAATGAGTGCTTGGTTCCATCCCCAGTACCATCAAAAATAATGAAAACACCAACAAAATCATTTTTAGACTACTGAGGACATAGTTCTTACTTAGTCTATTTGAATAGGCACATAATCTAGAAGTGCTTCTGACCTACAGCAGTAGTCTTCCTCTTCCCTGGCCTGGCCAGAGCATCTAGGACAGACCCTCACTTAATATTACAGAATTTCAGATCTTTACCCAGAAATGGATTTACACTGCTTCTTGGGGTCAGTCTGTCTGTCTGTCTGTCTGTCTGTCTGTCTCTCTGTATGTTTGTCACACACTCTCTCTTTCTCTCTCTCTGTGTGTGTGTGTGTGTGTGTGTGTGTGTGTGTGTGTGTGTGTTTCTTGTTTCCTTAAATGAGTCATAGCAGCTCTGTAGCCAGGTTTGGTAGCTGTCTTAGTTACTTTTTACTCATTGCTGAGACAAAATACCTAAAGGCCAAGTTGGGAAAGGAAAGGTTTATTTCTTACAGTTTTTGGAGGTTTCACACACTCAGTTGGCTCCAGGGCATGGCTGGGCCACAGTTCATGGTGGCTGCAAACAGCAAGCAGGAACAGGCAAAGAGCAAGACACACCTTCTCCCTGCCATTACATTACATCCTGGCTCCACCCCTCTGTGGGTATAGCACTGACACCATCAATCCAAGCACTAACAATGAACCATCACAAATGCACAATACAAATACATGAAGCCTGGGGGCCCACAGACATAAACCATGACATTCCTCCCCTGGCCCCCAGGACTCTTGTACATCCTTTATACAAAAGACATTTAGTCCACCACCAAGAGTTTCCAAAGTCTTAAGTTTCAGCATTGCTGAACAGTCCAAGTCCCATGTCTCCTCCATGATCTATGGCAAACTCTTAACTGTAACCCCTGTACAAATGAAACAAGTTTAAACATTTCTCAAATGCAAAGGCACAAAATAAACATTACTATTCCAAAAGTTACAAACAGGGGAATATAAAGCATTGGAAACAAAGCAAATCCAACATCCAGCAGGATGAACATTAAGTCCTGGAGTTCCTTGCTCTGCATCTGAAGCAATATGGTTACAAGCTCCAAAAGGCTTGTGTGATTCCACCCCCAAGGCACTTCCAGGGATTTCACCTCCTGCAGCTTTTCTCTTAAATCCTCTCTGCTTGCTTTTTGGAGCTTTCCTTGGATCGTCCATGTTTCTGGCTTTTCCAAACTTTTGGGGTCTCCACTGCACCTTTGGCTTCACCTTTATGTCTTCACAAATTGCCCTCTCAGGGGCACACAGCTTGGCCTCCCAGGCCCTTTGCAATAGAGGTAGAAGCCATCTTACCCTCAGAATTTGTGCATTTTCCTAGCACCTAAGATCAGCACCATGTGGATGTTGCCAAGGTTTGCTGCTAGCTAGAGCAGTACTCAGGCTTTTCTCTCTCTTGGCTGTAGGGGTCAGTTGCCTGGATCACAGGGCTCTGTTTAACTGATTGTGAGGAAAAGCTTCTCTATGTTGCCACCATTCTGGAGCCTCATGTGGCCTGTCACCATTCTGGAAACTCATGTGGTCTCTGTCGCCATTCTGGAACCTGGTGCTCTGCAGCTTTCTCCTCTGAAAAAATTCTTTTACCTTTGCAGTGAGGCTGCACAGGGTGGGGACCTGCTTCCTGGGATGCCCCCGGCCCATCTTTCTTATTTCTCTGTTTTCCCTCAGCCATCAGAACCTCCACTGTCTTTACAATCCACAGCCTTCCTGAAATATTCTTTCTGGCCAAACTCACAGTATTGCAAATTATCCCGCTGGGCTCTTTCCTCTTGATTTGCAACATAAAGCTGGCTAAAAGCCCTCTACAGTAGCCATGCCACAGACTCAACATTTGATTGCTTTTTAATTTCTTTTTCAAGATTAATCAGTCCATTGCCCTTTGTTTCAGTCTCAGGCAAAGTCTCTGGACATGAGCAAAATGTAGACAACTTTCTGCCAACCCATAACTCACATCATGGGGAGTCCAACAACCACTGCAGTCCTTCTTCCCAGCAGAAATCTCCCAGGCCTGGTCTTTACCATCAGGCTTCCTATCAGCCTTCTGGTCTCCTGAGCTGTGACCACTATCTCCTCTACAGAACTGCCTAAGCTGCTCTAGCTCTATGCATCCAGGCAACACATCCAAACCTTTCCAAACTCTGCCCACAAGCCATTTCCAAAGCCATTTCTTGAAAAACATGGTAAGGTATAGTCACAGCAAACAACCCCATTCTTCGGTACCAAATTCTGTCTTAGTTACTTTTTACTCATTGCTGAGACAAAATACCTGAAGCCCAAGTTTGGAAAGGAAAAGGTTATTTCTTACAGTTTTTGGAGGTTTCAGTCCACACTCAGTTGGCTCCAAGGCAGGTGGGCATGGCTGGGTCACAGTTCAGGGTGGCTGCAAACAGCAAGTAGGAACAGGCAAAGAGCAAGATACACTTTCTTCCTACCATTACATCATATCCTGGCTCCACTCTTATGTGGGTGTAACACTGACACCATGAATCCAAGCACTAGACAATGAACCATCACAAATGCACAATGAAAATGCGTGAGGCCTGGGGGCCACAGACATAAACCATGACAGTAGCCTACTACTTCTTGTACTTAGGAGCACACTTCTGCTGATCTGTTTCTCTGTGAATAGCTTTGCTTGTTTCAACTAGAAAATTGTTGTTGTTGTTGTTCTTCTTCTTCTTCTTTTTGTTTTTTTCTTGTTTCATCTGAGATAACACATTTGCTGCCTTCTCTGGTACAGTTACTCCCTGGTGATTGTTCCTGTAAGCTTAGCGGTAACTTAAGGAACTCTTAGTTGAAATTGTATATGAAACATTTTACTTAGGAACATAAGTTTCCAAAAGAAAGAAAAGGGGAAGAGAGACTGATTGACTGAGACTGACTAGGGTTTTTGTGTATCTGAAACACACTTGTCCTTTGTGTTCTAATGTCAGACTTACCATGCTTACACTGTTACTGTTTCACATAACTGTGTTACACAAATCACTTTTAGAGATGTTAGTATAGTAAAAGTGTGACTTGAGTCTTTAGAAATAAAGCATATATGAAACCTCAAATCACATTACGGAGTGCATGCAAGACTCACCTACCCACTTCCCTGCAGTACTGCCTTGGTATTGCATGAGTTTCTGTGCTGGTGATACATTCGGCATTGAAGGAGGTGTTGAATGGCTGGCTAAAGAAGAGATCAATGGGTTAAAACCACAGAATGACCCAGTGACTTAGCAAGTACCCGTTTACTTAAAGAGCAGTGTACAATAGAAACTGTCCTCTGTTACTTGTTTGCTGTATTAGACGATAATCTTTTTGTGGTTAAAAGTCTGCATTACAGCTGGGAGTATGAAACACATCTATAATCCAAGCACTGGGGGAGACTGGTTACACAGAGTTTGAGGCCAACCTGGACTACATACATAGCAAGACTTTGTCTCAACATTCCCCAAACCACAACCACCCCCCAAAAACACTGTTTTTTAAAGTCTCTCACAAAATTAGGCACTGATGTCTCAACTGAGGTGTGGTTTCCTCTTCCTAGATACTGTTTCTTCATTGTTGAAGTAGGGTTTCATGTTTTCCCCTAATTGTCTTACTACCTTGGATATGAAAATTCTGCTTGAGTTTTATAAGTTGGTAGTAATTCTTCAATTCTCTGAAGTAATGGTGATTTGACTGGGAATCAAGAGAACTCTGTAGCATTTTTTATTTACTCAGGCATTCTCCATAGTATGTGTGTGACTGTCATTACAAGGATGATGTTAATAACATTAAAACTGTAGAAGATAAAAGGAACTGAGAATATGTGTTATACTTTTGAAAATGCTCAGAGACTGTTCCATTAACTTGTTGGATGTGTAACAGTGCTTCTTTAATTTGAATGTCTTCTTTTTCACAGGCCTGAGTTGCTGGAGGAAGCCCAGAGGCAAGGCTTACCATTTTCACAGTGGGACGGGCCAACCGTGGTTGAATGGCTGGAGGTACATCCCTTTACTACAGAGACCTATGCTACATGACACAAGCTTGTCGTGCATCTCCTGTCTCTACCTGATGTTCTGGTCTTTTCATTCTTCTTTCTAGCTCTGGGTTGGGATGCCTGCTTGCTATGTGGCTGCCTGCAGAGCAAATGTGAAAAGTGGGGCCATCATGTCAGCTCTGTCAGACAGACAGATCCAGCAAGAGATTGGCATCAGCCACCCTCTGCACAGACTGAAGCTGCGGCTGGCCATCCAGGAAACCCTGTGGCTCACCAGCCCTTCGGCTCCACCCACATTGAAAAAGGTATGTTCACAGAGGCTCTGTGTGCCCTCTGTGGAGGAGGAAGGCAGAGCCCACAAAAGCAGTAGCCTGCTAATGTTTCCGTGCTGCTTCCTAATCATACAGGGTGGTTTCAACTTAAAATTTCAGGAAAGCATAGTACAACCCCTAACTTGGAGGGGTTGAGTGATCCAAAGAAAATGTGTGAACTGCTTGTGTAAAAGTGTGGTTAAAGCCAGGCGTGGTGGCACATGCCTGTAGTTCCAGCACTCAGAAGGCTGAGGTGGGAGGATCACTGTGAGTTCTAGGCCAGTGGGTTACAGTGTGAGCAGCTTGAACCGAGTAATGAGATCCCGTTTCAGAAAAGACCAAAAAATAAATAATTAAATAAATGAATAAAACTTGGTTAGAAAGGCCTTCTTTAAGAAAGAAGGCTTTTTGAAAGGTAGAAAATTGATTGTCACAAATGTACGTATGAATTTATCAAAACTGAGTAAGTGTAAGGACCTCTTGAGGAAGGAAAAGTTAACATTTTAAGTAGCATTTCATCCTTGAACTTTGATTTCTATTTCATAGTTCAAACAATAATTAGTACTTGTACGGTATATAAAGGTACTTGCTAAGCAAATTATATGCGGAAAATATTGTTTTTCTTCAAGTATACAGGTAGCAAAATATACAGATAAGCCCAGGAATGTATAAACCCTTGCATACAATCCCCGGGCATAAATAAGCACCTGGCTACGGCCCCTTGGCTATAAACTAGGTTGGGCTGCCCTTACTTTGTTGTGTGTGGCTTCTTTCCTTCAGTCTTGTGCGTGTGAGTGCATCTGCATCACTGCACATATAGGCGGGACTTACAGAGTAACTGTAATTTGTGGCAGTCCAGAGGTGCCACTGACATACAGTTGACATGCTAACAAGGGGTGGTCACCTCCCAGAAATCCACTGGTTCCTGGACAGTTCTAAGCTTCTCTTCTTTGTGGATGTCTTTTTTTCCCTACAAGAACTAAAGGAGGAAAAATGCTGAGTTTCCTAGATGCACTGTGGTTGTGTGTCACGGCACCAGCAGGTGCTCTGGGTCTTGGGAGCTGCATGTGTCTGTCCAACCATGCCTGTGCTCACAAAGATGCTGTCCACTTGGGGAGTAGTGAAGAGCCCTCAAAGAGCTTCCTGGTGACTCTTCTGATGAAACATTGGTGGTTATTAGAAGGGAAGAGCAGGCCAGCTCTTAAGTTGCAAAGTTCAGGGTTTTTTTCATTTAGATGTTCAACAAACTCTTATTGCTGTGTAGACATCCTTCTGAGCAGCAGAGCAAGGTCTGCCTACAGTAACTTTATACACAAAAAAGTGTGAAGATTTTGTTGTTAGAGAATTATGAAAATGAACAATAAGCCTTTTTTTTTTTTTTAACGTATGGCCAAAGAACACTTTCCCTTGGTGGAATGTTTTGTAACCAGTATCAGTCTGTTCTGCAGCTATTTCCACATTAATGTGGGCTTTGTAGAAATGAAGATGCTGCATGGCTTTTTCAAAGCTTTTAAGAACCCTCTTTCAAAAGGGAGCTTCTGTGATTCAGTTGAACTATTGGCAAGGACTAGACCTCACATCAGAAAGACTCTCCATATCACCAGTTACAAACACAGAAATTGCTGTTCTTGGGGAGCTTACAGTGGGCTAGCAGAGTGGCCATCAGTCTCAGGTTTGACTCAGATGGTGACAAGTGCTTTGTTTTTGGTGTTTGCATTGTTTGGCTCTCCTGTGCTCACTATCTTGTGCCCTGGCCTCCTGGGCTTCCTCTGGCTTTGGATCATCTGCTGAAAGCAGCCACAGGAAGCCAAGGCCAGAGCATCCTGTTGTTAGCCTGTGTTGGGGTGAGACTGCTTTCTGTGTGTTTTGTTTTATTCTTTTGTTTTGCTGTACTGAGGCTTAAACCTAGTGCTTTGGGAGAGCCAGGCAAAAACCCTATCATGAGCTATACCTCCAACATGGTGAGACTATTGAAAATACTGTCTATTGAATCATCAGTTACTGGGGAAAGTAACTTTTCAGAAATATAAAGTATGTTCTCATCCATACTTTTAAGCATGTGATCTGGAAATTGTGTGCTGTTCTCCTTATATTCCGACCACACTGTTATTGTTTAAAAGAGGATGAGCCTGTGTTAATGATCTCTGGCTTTCTCTGTGGGTGCCTGAAATGAAAATGTGCAAAGAGTGACCTTTGCCTCGTGGCTCCTTACTGTGCCTGTGGCTCATATGTGCGTCCTTCTCCTTTCTGTCACGCTTCCCTTGCCCTGGATGTGGCTGGTGCACTGGGGTCACCTTAGACCACAGGAAATGTCTGGTTAACACATGAAGAGATGGAAACACTCGCAGCCACATCTCAGATGGTCAGTCAGCCCTGCAGCTCATGTTCCAAAGTGGGTTTCCTACTCCAGACCAAAGGGCCCTTTGTCTTTTGTTGAAAACAAAAGTTAATTTGCATTTGTTTCAAATATAATGTGTTCTTTTTAGGTTATTAGCTCATAGCGTATAGTCGTATTTGCATTTTTTAGATTTTTACAAGAATTTAGTTTATAGATTTAGAGAAGATGTAATTTGCTTCTCCTTTTGGAGAGACCTCCATTGAGCACTGCGTTGTGGTTGTCTAACGCCAACAGTCTACTGTATGAGGTTAGTTGGCATGGAAAAAGTCTGCTCCTTGCATGGAAAATTGAAATTCTTGGATTTTCATGAGTTTTTGCATGAGGCATTGATATTTTGAATGTTTTTCACTCAGTCAAGGTGCATGTTCCCTGCAGAATTAATTTGCTTACACTACTAAAGTTCACTAATACTAATAGTTATGTTCTTTTACATTCCTAACAACCTAACATCAGGAAGATGAGGAGGGAAGCTGGATAAGGTTGGAGTCTTTCTATAATATTTCTTCACTCTGTAGCAACAAAAAGCAATTGAGGATGTAAACTTGTGTGACCTGCTTTAGTAGGTGTTTTTCACACCTTAATTTATTCATAGTATCATTAATGACTTGAAGAATGTAATCAAATAAATCACAGGATTAAAGATTACATCTCATGGATAATTTTGAACATTTCCCATATGGGATCATGGAAATTACTTTGAACGAAGGTTGTTTTATTTATGAATAGAATCTTTTATACAAAGTCCCCTGGTTTAGGCAACTCCTGAGTTTATGTACATGTAGTTCGTTGCTGGGTTAGTTTTGTTCTAAAATGTACTGCTGAAAAAAATCATGAAATACACTTCTAAACCTGAAAGTTGGCATGGGGCCTTTCCCTCTATGTCTTTATATTGTTATTTGACTAAGTACTGCCCTACTGTGTTGAGTTAAAGATCTTAGTAATGGAGTTCTCAGAAATTAAGGCTTATCACTTCACAGAGATTGAATTTCAGCTGCCTAACTCTTCACTACACAGAAAGCTCTGCCCCATGTTTTACAGTGTCTGAGTCAGATGACTTGGTTAAATTCCCAGCATCCCTCTGCCCTCTTGGGTCTTTGGTGGGCACAGTGCAGTACCAGGGGACTTGTAGTTCTTCAGCTTTTCCCAGGGGCACGGTATTCGGGGGCTCAGAAGAGTTAGCATATGTCTGAAAGCAAGTATAAATGAGTTAAGATTAGAATTTGCTGATTCCAAGATGATGCTTGAAACAGTTGCTTCTGTTTGCATTTCTAAAGGTTATTCAGTTATAGCACTTGGTTGTTTGTTTTGTTTGTTCATTTGAAAAAAAGAGAGGTGGAACTTGGTGACACATATGGGTCATCCCAGGACTTGGGAGGTTGATCAAGCATGTTTGTTGCAAATTTGAGACCAGCATAGGCTACATAGTGAGTTCAAGGTCAGCCTAAACTACATAGTAAAATCCTGTCTCAAAATTACAAAAAGTTTAGAAACAAAAACTAAGAAGAAAGAGAATAGCTACTAACTGGGTTTCCCTCCCTGGGTTTAGATACTCCCTGCCTCTAGAATCACTTAAATTCACCTAGTTAGAGGTCTCTCTACAGGACCAACAATGACCATCAGTGAATTAAGCAGTGCATTTCATAATTACGTAAGTTTCAATATATTCCAAAAGACAAAGTAGAATATGGTCACCACTTCAATATGAAATAGCATCAGAGACATAAAGTGTAGTTGAATAAGCTTAACATTTGCTTTTTGCAGTGACCATATAAAAGGGGCCCATGCAGAAGATTCCAGATTTACCCCACATGCAATGTTCTGCAGAAGCTTGGTGCACTTTGCCACCATCCTTTCCCAGACAGAGCTGCTAGGACAGAGCTATGCTAGCACAAAGCATTGTGCTTTGCCCGTGCTGGCACTGGGTGGCCTCACTCCTGACTGAGCTTTGGAAGGAACACTCAAGTGTGGTCAGAACTGTTCGCATATCAGATGTAAGATATGACTGGCTGTGTGAGAAGGCTGTGCTAGCTGCCAGGAGCCATTAGTGAGCAGGACAGCGGCAGTCCCACTCTCATGGAGCTCACATTTTACTGACCTTGAGACTGAGCGTGACTTGTCCATGCTTGGAGCATGAGGTCCCTTTGCACACTTCTTCAGAAGGCTGTGGTGGCAGCCAGGGAGAGGAGGAGGCTCTCCCTCAAACTGAGTCTGAGCTGTCAGAATCTGCATTATCAGCAACTGCAAAAGTAGTAAATAGAGATATGGAGGGTTTGCTTCCACACAGCTTTTTATTTGGAAGATTTCTTCTACTCATTAGAAGAGAGCATAGTCAGCAGGCCAGAAAACATCAAATATTCAGGCTGTGAATCCCAGGCCCATGAAAGTATGACTCAAAGGACTGCATCATGGTAACATTGTTAGATATCTTAATGGTTACCATAGTGGTATATTTGTCACTCATCATTTAAAGAAAGTTATGAAATCTTTTCTGTTAGAATTGGAACATTCCTCTTAGCTGAGCCATCCCTTGTATCTTGACTGGAACAAATAAAATACTAGAGTGGAATCCATTGTTCTAAACCAAACATGGAGGCCATGCATGGTGGTTTATGACTGTAATCCCATAACTCAGGAGGCTGAGGCTGGAAGATATCAACTTAGAGACCAGCCTGGGCCTAGTGAGACCCTGTTGTAAGGGGTTGGGGATGTAGCTCAGGTTAGAGTGCTTGCCTAGCAGGTATGAAACCCTGAGTTCAAGCCAGGAGAGGATGGATGGGAATGGATAGTTTTTATTTTAAAGGATTTCTCAATGTACCTTAGGATTCCTGTGAATGTAATTTAATCTTCCTTAGCTGGAGAGCATAACGAACCATTCTCTGTGAAGTGGTTGTATATCATGTCTATTTTTCATTGTACAGACCTTGGACATATTCTGTTGAATTGGTTGCTAAGGATTTTATGCAGTTTAGTGCCATTATATAAGATACTTCTAAAATCTCAATTTCCAGTTCATTTTGTATATTTAGAAATGTTAATTTTTGTGTATTCATTGTATATTCAGCAGCTTTGCTAAATTCATGTATAAATCCTAATAGCTATTTCATAGACTTTTTCAACAATGATAATTGTGTCATTTACTAATAAAGAGAGGTTTATGTCTTTCTCAACTCATGCCATTTTTATGTTTTTCCTGCCATTACAGTGGCCAGGTCTCCAGCACAGCCAAACATAAACGGTGACAGTGGACACCCCTTGTGCTTCTTTCCGTTCAGGGAGACATTTGGTCCCTCATTGTGAGGTTTTTAGCTGCAGGCTTTTGGTAGATGACCCTTAATAGATTGAGGCGGTGGGTCTTTCGTCCTAGAATGCTGAGTTTCATAACTGAATGATGGATCTTGTGCCACATAAGGTATTATGAGACATGGCTTTCTTTGCTGATCTCGTAATTGGGCAAATTTCATTGATTTTTTTTTTCCTCCTCAGTTGGTGAACCAACCTATTCCTGAGTCAGTAAACCTACTTACCATGATTCCTTATTTTTGGTGTAGTGCAGACTAGTCCCAAACTCGAAATACTTTTGTCTCAGCCTCCTGAGTGCTGAGTTTACAGGCATGCACCACCATACCACACCACAAAAAAGTACGTCCTGAAGCCAGATGTGATGATGCACCCCTGTAGTTGCCAAAACTCAAGAGACTGAGCCCAGAAGTTGGCTGTTATAATGTCCTGTGACAATTGGGCATTAAACTAAGATGGACATCATACTAAGAGTGGCATCAATATCTCTTTGCATAGGGAGTGCTTGTGCATAGCCACTGCACTCAATCCTGGTAATATAATGGGAATCTCTGTCTTTAAAGGTTGTGGGGAGGGGCTGGGGATTTAGCTCAGTGGTGCAGCACCTGCCTTGCAAGCATGAGGTCCTGAGTTCAATTCCCAGTACCCCCCCCAAAAAAAAGAAAGGAAAAAGTGTAAGTTATATCTGGGTCAGATTGATTGACAGTATTGTTTTTGTCCGTAGCCTTCCTCATTGTTTTCCTTTTCTTAGTCCTTTTTGGTTTTTTGATTGGCACATTGAACCAGTTGTTAAGAGAGGAGTGTTGAAGTCTTCTAAATTTAATTGTATTTTTCTGTTTTTGTTCTTAGTCTCATTAGTTGTTCGTTTATCATTTTAAATTTACTTTTCCTGATTTTCAAATACACTTGTCATTTAGGAAGACAAAGTATTAAAAATAAAATCAAAACCAGCTAGAGCTCATTTGAATGATTTGAATTGATTCTTCAAACTTGTTCATGAGTCATGATCATTCTTTATTCCTATATTATTATATTGAAAACTAATTCAGAAAAGGAATTTATAGACAGGTATGATTTTTCTATAGCTTGGTAAATTGTCCTAAATGAGTCATAAAATTTTGCCAATATGATTTCTGTTGGATAAAACTTTAGGAATTTGAAAAGGTAGGAATGGGAGACCAAATATTTAGAAATTATGAAAAGCAATGTTGTCATTCATTTAGCCTTTAAGAATGTTGTCTAGATTAAAAATCTGAACTGATGTCACTCATTTGTTGAAATCAGACACTTGCATATGGGGACATGGACCACGAGTGGATTGGCAATGAGTGGCTGCCCAGCCTGGGCCTACCTCAGTACCGAAGCTATTTCATGGAGTGCCTTGTGGATGCTCGGATGCTGGACCACCTGACCAAGAAAGACCTGCGGGGGCGGCTGAAAATGGTTGACAGTTTTCACAGGTGAGGCAGTGCAAGTGGTTCTTCCTAACGGATCAAGAGACTTCACATAGGGGCTGGGGATTTAGCTCAGTGGCATAAGCACCTGCCTTGCAAGCAGGCAGTTGTGAGTTCGATCCCCAGTACCGATAAAAAGAAAAAAGACAAAAAAAAAAAAAAAAAAAAAAGAGACTTCACATTGCCACCGTTAAATAACCCCTTATTTTGTAAATAGGAACAGCTTCCAGTGTGGGCTTATGTGCCTAAAAAGGTTAAATTATGATCGGAAAGAACTGGAAAGAAGAAGAGAAGAAAGTCAGGATGTAGTTAAAGGCAAGTACATTATGCCGGATGGATGCAGCACATGCCTGCTGCCTCCCAGGCAGCCTGGGTGATTGCCTGTTTGAAAAAGTATAGCAGCCAGCTGAGCTGGCACATACCTGCAATCCTAGCACTCTGGGAGGATATAGCAGCAGAGTCACAAGCCTAGCCCAGGCAGCTTGGACTCCGTGAAACCTTCTCTCAAAATGAAAAGTATAACAGGGCTAGAGGTGCAGCTCAGTGCAAATCCCTGTGTTTATTCCTGAGTACCTCAAAAAGAAATCAAGGGCTTAGTGATAAGGCACTTGCTTACCACTTGCATTGCCCTGGGTTTGATCCCTAGGACTGAAAAAAAAAAGCACAAAATAATCATACATTTATCTGGGAATTACACAAATTACAGTTCCAGCTACTAAGAATACTAAGGCAGGAAGATCACAAATTCAGGGCCGACCTGGCAATTTAGTGAGACCCTGTCTCAGAACACTAAAGCTAGATTTGAAAATTAGGGGTGCTAAGAATGTAGTTCAGTGAAAAAAGACTTGCCTAGCATGCTCAGGGCTCTGGCTTCTGTCTCTAGTACCACAAAAAAATAAATCAGGGAAGACTTTTAAGTGGAAACAACTGGCTTGGCATGATAACAAGAGGAGGGATGAAAAGGGGTGCCCTGAGACAGTGTGTGCTTATCTCAGTCTGTAGGCTACCCTCTTGGTGCTGGCATTCTTTCATGTAGTTTTCCTTTTGTTGTTGTACACTGTATACGCTCTCTCAGAGATGCTGCCTTATGCTATTAGATCAGAGCAAGGCAAACAAGCCACTGCCTTTTGCTTACTGGATAGAGGTTAAAACTACAGCTTTGGGAGCTTTTTCTAAGGCCTGTGGCAGCATGCAGGGCACACAGTTCTGCTCCCAGAGGGAGGGAGAGGTCAAGGCAACCAATAGCCTAGCACCCATAATTTTGTAATTTATTTATTTATTTTGAGACAGAATTTCACTAAGTACCCTGGTCTGGGATTACACCTGTGACCCTCCTGTCACAGCACCCATACTAACTGGGATTGCAGTCCTTACAGAAACCACAGAGTGTCCTGTGGGCAAAGGAAAGACATGTCAGAAACAGGCCAGGAGGTAGGAGAGGGCATGGCAGCCCCCTCAGTATGACAGGGACAGGCATTTTCTCTGAAGACAACACTGAATGTCATGCTCACGAGAGTCTCTCAGAATTCTCGGTAGTTACTAATAGCATTGCAGTGATGAGAAGAAATGAGACTTACTGAATAATGATCAAGCACTGTGTCAAGTCTTCCATAGTTGATTCATTCAGGCTGCATCGTGGTTCTGTTATTTTCATCCTCATTCTGATGTCTTTTTCTAAATAAAATAAAGGATTATCTATTGGCCAGGGATGTAGCCCTGTGGTAGGACACTTGCCTAGTCTGTGCAAGGCCTGGGTTTTAATTCTTTTAAAACAAAGAATACGTTGAGGTCTATTTAGAAAAGAAAGTCATGGCCGGGGATATAGCTCAACAACAGAGCGGCTGCCTGGCAAGTGCAAGGTCATGAGTTTGATCCCTGGTACCAAAACAAAGTTGAGAAAAAAAATCAGACATGAAATGTATTAATCCATTTAATTTGTTTTCTATATCCCCTCTCCATATTTTGTCAGTTGGCAAAAGCAGTCTTTGAAAAGATTGGTGGTCAGATATATTTTTACAGAGTGGCAATTGTTTGGTCTGTAATAGAATACATTTAATAATTATCTTTGTATGATATACGATTGCCAAAATCTAGTATGCTGGAATGTCTTTAAAATTCTTTCTTTGTAATATATTAAGATGTTGATATGACCAAAGCTTCAGAAGCACAGGGGCTGGGGTATGGCTCAGTGGCTTAGCACCTACCTGGTAAGCACAAGGCTCTGAGTTTGATTCCCAGTACAACAACAAGAAAAAGTAAAAGAAAACGAAGGTCAGAAGGTCAGAAGCAAAGAGTTTGTGTTGAACTCAGCAAGGTATCTGAACTGTCATGGTATCTGCCCCTTTCATGATGGAGAAGCATTTCAGGAGACTCTGGGGTCTGTGTAGGAAACATGCTTATACGTGCTAGGTCTGACTCTGACCCTCAGCCTGATGTTTTTGCAGTCTTAGGATTGAACCCCAGGCCTTGTACATACTAGGCAAGTGATCTGCCACCAAGCTACATCCTCAGCCAATCATGTTGTATTGTTCCCTGAATATATCCTATCCACAATCTTACTGTGACACCTGAGTGCACTAGGGGAGGCTTCTAAAGGGAAAGTTTTTATTAGAATGAGGCAGAACCAAAACAGCTGTGTCTAGGTGTGTGTCTGTCAGTATTTGTGAGTGTGGAGTCCATTTTCAGGAGCTGAGGGATCAAGATCCATGCTAGGAATCTTTCCCCTGCATTGCAGGACATGTATGATGAAGAGGTTTTCTGAAGCCACATTTACAGTTGTTTTGTTCTTTCACAGATGTGCTTGTTTGGAGCAATGATCGAGTGATTCGCTGGGTCATATCCATTGGCCTTAAAGAATATGCAAACAACCTCATAGAGAGTGGGGTTCATGGCGCACAGCTGGCCTTAGATGAAGCCTTCGATTACAACACATTGGCCCTGTTGTTACAGATCCCGACAGAGAACAGAAAGGTGACAACGGAGTCTGTGCCTCTGTCTGCTTAGCCACAGTGTTCGGTTTTTCTGTGGTTCTAGAATACTTATTTTTCATTTGAATGGAGAGAAAATTTAACTCTAGACAACTAGTAATCACTTTCCATAACTAATCTATAATATGGTAGTTCAAAATAAGCAAATGCTTGATTTTTCACTATCTTTTCTTTCCAGTTTGTGTTGCAAGCATGTGAGTCTTTGAAGTCTTTGTTTTAAAAAATTGTAATGTGTAACATCCTTCAGATATATTTAGTTGTTGTTTTGTTACTTCAGGCTCGAAATGTCTTGGACAAAGAATTTGCCGACCTTTTGGTCCTTGGGACTGTCAGACGTTTTGATGTCGTAAGTTTTCAGCTTTTTTCTCCTCTCACTGCTAGGAATCAACCTCAGGGCTTCACATATGCCAGTTGAGTGCTCTACTACTGATCCTTGCTCTTGGTCCACTACTTAATTTTTGGCAACCTTCAAAAATTATTTCTATATTGTCAAACAGATTGCAGCCTGCGATCAAAGTCTTAAGTTGTGTTTTGGTGACAGCTGACTGTCCTGCCCCAGTTCTTCTGTTTGGAAGGTTTCTTTCAAAAGTATATTAAATTTCCCCTCATGCTAAATCATAACTAACCTGTTGCCATACATTATGATTGTCTTCAGTGAGCTCCAAGAGTACTTGATTTTCACAAAGAAGATGGAAGCTGAATCTGGAAGCAAAGCATTTGTTGGATTATTTGTAGCCAGAATATTTTGAAAATAAATAAAAGTACATTATATAGCAGGCAAGAGCTTGTCCACAGTAAGAAATAAAATATTCTGATGGGTGAGAAAATCACATCCCTGGTGCCCAGGACTGCCCTCGTTTCTCCAGTTGGGGCCCAGCAGGAATGTAATCATGTTTCCTCTCACACTGAAGTTCCAGTGTGTGCAGCACTGTTGGGAGCCACGGCCGACACCGGTCGCCTTACTTGGCGGACATAGGGCCTGTGGGTGGGAGCGGAGCCTGAGCTAGATTGCCCCTCCCATCGAGTGAGCCAAGTTGGCGCCTGCTTCCTGCCCCCTGATTGCGCTGGCGACTTAAACAACCCGCTCTGTAAGATAGTCTGCCTAGCAACAACTGATGTTAGCCAATCAGCCCGCATCGCGCGCTTTGAACTGATTGGCCACTGTTACCCTATAAAAGTAAATGCCTCTCCCGCCACAAGAGAGAAGCACAGAGGAAGCACAGAGAGAGATAGAGAAAGTCCACCGGCGAGAAAGGGCTGGTGACAGAGCGGAGGCCTCGCGGGGCCCACGCGGAGACAAATAAAGGCAAGGTTGCACACCGCCAGACTTTGTCGTGTGTCTTTCCTGCCGTCCGGGAGCGACCCCGACATTTGGTGGCCCGTACGGGGACTGATCAACCCCGAGACACGGCGGTGGTGTGCAACGCTCCAGCGTGGTGCTGCCGGACAGGTGAGTTGGGGATAAGCCTGGGCTCTGGGTGGCGCGCACCTACAGGGCTTTTAGACTCCCCTCAGGCTCACGCGTAGGTGACGGGTTCTTTAAGTCACACGCGGTGAGTTACAGCCTTTAGAGGTTAAAGATGGGTAATTTACCGAGCGCGGAGGCGCGGCCCTTGGTAAAGGCCCTTAGAAAGCTTTTAAAAGCTAGAGACCTCAGGGTAGGTCAAAAAACACTAGAACTATTCATAGCAGAGGTAGATAGGGTGGCTCCCTGGTTTTTACCCACAGAGCATTCAAACCTGCCGTCATGGGAGAAGTTAGGCGGGGACCTCGCCTCGGCGGAATTGGGAGGCGATATTTCGCTGGCTATTCGCCCCCTGTGGGAAATGATACATGCGTGCCTTGACTCCTATGCCGAGTTGCGCCGCGAATTGTGTGCGTGCGCCGCTCGAAAAAAGCAGAGAGAGGAAAAAGGACCCCCGAGCGCCCTCTGGCGGGGAGGAGATAGAGAGCCATCTGCTCCGCCCTGGAGCTCTTCTCCAGAAGCGGCTCCCCGCCGAGAGGCCGCTACAGGGAACCCTCCCTTCTCTCAGCCGGCACAGGAAGTGACGCCCCGTTCCACTCTGTCAGGACCGCTGTCCTATGACGTTGCGCCGCGGGGCGGACGGTATTTTCATGGGCGGCTACTCTGCCGAGCAGGCTGAGAAAAACGCCGGTCGAGGAAACGGGGGCTGGGGATTTAGCTCAGTGGCATAAGCGCCTGCCTTGTAAGCAGGCAATCGCGAGTTCGATCCCTGGTACCGATAAAAAAAAAAAAAAAAAAAAAAAAACGAAAAAGACCAAAAATAAAAAAAATAAAAAATAAAAAATAAAAAACAAAAAGGGGGAGTAAGCCAAGGCCTGCCTCCAAAGGCACGGTTATCTATGGCATGACAATGGATGGGCCCGGATCCGGTGGTTAGCTGGAACCGAGGCGCGGTTTGTGTTTTTCCGCAGGAACCGGGACGAAAACCACTGTGGGTCCCAGAGAGGTTGACGCGACAAGTCCCTCGACTGAAGATCAGGCCTGTTCCACCAGAGGCCAACCGCAGACCCAACAACAAGATGAGCCCTAAAAGAACTGCAGGACAATCCCTTTTTGGGGGCCTGGAACGGCTTGCTCCCCTATGTGCTACCCTTGTTAGGCCCTCTATGCTCCTTGTTCTTGCTCCTGCTTATAGGACCATGCTTGCTCCGATGGGTTACATCATTTATTAATGGGCGCCTTGCGGCGGCCCGGCGTCAAGTACGCTTGGTTGCCCATGCGGCCCTGGCAGCAGCCCGTGATGGGCACAATGATCCCCAGGCTTACGCGTGGCTCGCTCGACTGGCCTACGACCGGGTCTAGGTGTGGCGGGTCTTCCGCATTCCTTCCCTAATGACACCACACAGCAGGGTAGGTGAGTCAATGACGGGTAAGAGCGTGCCTCCCCAGCACGACTCGACCTAAGCCAGGCCCTACCCCATACTGCACGAAAGCCGCTGGATTACTAGAATCTGCCCAGATCTAGATGCCTCTCCGAGGGGATCACACGGAGGGGCATGAGTGCATGCCTATGTGCATCCAGGTTCACTCCTGGCCCTGGAAAAAGGACGAGGGTCTCAAGGCCTTGGCGGACCCGGGGGCGGCCGACCAGGGTCCAAGCCAAGGGCCTACGGTGGGCCTCAACACAGGGCATAAGCCTCTGCACTCGATCCAGGGCGGGCTGCGATGCATACATTCATTCAAAGTAAATAAAATAGGGGGAGATGTTGGGAGCCGCGGCCGACACCGGTCGCCTTACTTGGCGGACATAGGGCCTGTGGGTGGGAGCGGAGCCTGAGCTAGATTGCCCCTCCCATCGAGTGAGCCAAGTTGGCGCCTGCTTCCTGCCCCCTGATTGCGCTGGCGACTTAAACAACCCGCTCTGTAAGATAGTCTGCCTAGCAACAACTGATGTTAGCCAATCAGCCCGCATCGCGCGCTTTGAACTGATTGGCCACTGTTACCCTATAAAAGTAAATGCCTCTCCCGCCACAAGAGAGAAGCACAGAGGAAGCACAGAGAGAGATAGAGAAAGTCCACCGGCGAGAAAGGGCTGGTGACAGAGCGGAGGCCTCGTGGGGCCCACGCGGAGACAAATAAAGGCAAGGTTGCACACCGCCAGACTTTGTCGTGTGTCTTTCCTGCCGGCCGGGAGCGACCCCGACACAGCACATTGGAAGGTCACCAGGAAAGGCTAAGTAAAGCAAAACAGTCAGGGGCTTAGGAGTCCTTCTGAAGGACAGTTATCTTTATTAGAGTGTGCCTGTTCTGTGTTTTCATTTGCCAGGAGGATGACAAACACTTTAGGAGAGCACCTTCATGGAGAGAGAAGGTTAGAGAAAAGGCCATTCACGGCGTGGCAACTGGGTCATCAGAGACACTCCCTGCAAACTTCCGAGTCTCTTCTTCCAAGTCTTTCTGCTCTATGCAGCCCAATGAGATCCAGATGGATGGTATGTGGTGGGCCATGTAATGCAACACTGGCTGGGAGCATGTGCGCGCTAATAATTACCTAGAGTGGCCATTGTATGTGTTACAAAGCATCTGAGTTTGGTTGCATGCCCAGGTGTCAATGGTTCAGGATTAGCCCTAACATTTGTTGGAAAATGGTTAACAACAATAATAGAATTTTTAAAAAATCTGTCTGGTTGAACCTTAGCATCCTTGCCCAACTAATAAAGTGGAGCACCCATCTGTGCTCTCAGGGCTGAGACTGATGCACCTGTGGGGTGCAGTGTGTGGCAGGCAGCACTGGCTTGCCAGGAAAATTGCAGTGTGACACTTGGGACTTCTCTCCACACTAGAAGAAATGGCAGAGTAAACTTTAGCTCACAACTTCCAGGTTCTGCCAACTCTGTCTTTCCTTTTCCCTTCCCTCCAGTGTTCTCTTTCCATATACTTACCTTGTGCCACCTGAAGAGGGACAGGGAAGAAGGCAGAAGCCTTGTGGAGACCGCTAGGGCAGCCCTGCTGCCTTCTCAGTGAGAGATGGCAAGGCATTGACCTTTCCAGTGCAGTCGGGATGGCCCTTATGTAACTGCTGACTGAAGAGTGCAGTTGGCTGAGAGGAGACCTTGAGTCCCTGACAGTCCTGCCCACCTAGTAAAAGGCACTGATCGGGTCCTGAGAGAGCCCACATCCACATCCAGCTCTTGTGGTAGCAGGGACATGACCTTGAGCAAGTCATGCAGCTGTGCTGTGCCTCAGTTTCCATATCTGTAACGGGCATCATAGTAATGTGATTTTGATGCTTCAATGTGTCATGTGGGTGAAGCTGATGGAGTCCTGAGCCTCGTGCATTGCTGACAATCTCAGTGTTAGGTGGAGACTTCATTCCTTCTCATCCCTGATGTACATGGTTGTGCTGTATAAACTGTACCAGTGGGGTTTTTACAAGTTTCCTGTTGTTAGCCCCCTGTGTAGGTAGTTTTCCTTTTTTCTCTTTCTTGCCTGTATGAAAATCAGAGAAAAATACATTTATATAAACTTTTTAAAGCTGAACACTTTCCAGTGTGTCTTTTAACTAGTAAGTTCTTAAGAATTAACACTTTCTCCCTCAAGGTGTCTTACAAATGTTGGCAAGACATGGAAGTGCATGCCTGTAATTCCAGTACTTGGGAGGCTCAGGCAGGAAAATCATGAATCTGAGATGTATGTGAACCATAAATCCAGGTTAAGGCTATACTGAGCTTCATAGGAAGACCTTGTATCATAAATAAAATAGATAAGTAAGTAAGCTGTGACGGGCCTTGAGCTTAATTTCCATTGGCTTACTAAATAGTCTAAATGAGTACTCTGTTGTTTTCCCTGTACCTTCAATTTCTGTTTCACTATAAAAATCACATTTTCTCTCTGAACATTGCAAGCAATATTAACATAGCTGGGTGTGGAGATCACCTGTAATCCCGGCACTGGGGAAGCTAAGGCAGGAAGGTTGCTGAGAGCTCAGTACCAGCCTCGAATTCACAGGGATTGTAGGGCCAGTGTGAACTACACAGGGAGACCTTGTTTCAACAAAACAAAACAAAAATAAAGGGTAGTATTAATGAGTTTGTTTGTTGTTGATTTGTTTTTTTGGTGGCATTTTTGTGGTTGTGGTTGTTGTTTTGGGGTTTGGGGTGGTACTGGGGAGGGAGCCTTCTACCTGTACTACACACCACCCCTTCTTTTATTATCCAGAAAGGGTCTTGTTAAATTGTCCAGGCCTGGTTTGAACTTGGAGTTTTCCTGCCTCAACCTCCCAGAGTGCTAGGATTACAGGCATGTGCAGGCAAACTGTGTAACACTAAATTTAAATGGATTGAATAGAAAAAGTTGTCAGGGTAAATTACATAGAAGATGTCTATGCCACATTGGTAAGAAGGTGGACTGTTACAAATGACTTGCGAGGTGGAGAGTATAAGATAAATTACAGCATGTCTCCTAGACTTTAGAATGAAGGTTTACAATGACTGCCCAGTCTTACCAACGCGGCCAGCTATCTGTCTTTTCTAGAGCTATGGCAAGATGTTGCTAAGAAGTATTCCTGGTATACTTGCAGGAAAACAAAACACTGTACAACTGGGAGTGTAAATATCTGCAGAAGATGTTGCAAGCTCTTTACCCAGTTTGTGACAGGGCTGTACTGCCTGTTTAGCCACCCAGTGTTTGTCAAACAAGGACCCCTGCCTCCGTGTTCTCCATCCTTTTTTGTAGAAACTGAGACAAGCTTTAGTCTTCTGAGAAGCACTGGCCATGGCCTCTGGGCTGTGCCTCTTTGCCTGCAACCCACCCTGAGAGCAGTGCCTGCAGAGCAGCTGGGGTTCCCTCCTCCCCTTCGTGCTGCTGATTCACCCCATTCATTCCTGGAGGTCTAGCTGTAGGGTACAAGGAAAAGTCCAGTTGCTATATCAAAGTGTGGCTTAAGGAGCTGCAGAGTAGCTATGTTAGGTGGTTGTCCTCTCTGTATGTGCACACTGAGGTGGTTTGCACTTCCAAGGGGCCCTATTGCTATTTTAGGTGCCAGTGTCCCCTTGGGTGGTGACAGAACCACTCTGGGCAGCCCTCTGATGCTCTTGCCTCACTCTCCCAGGCAGTCTTAGGATTCCTCAGTAGACACCATTGTAGGTGTGGAGATGTGTGTCTTACCTGTGCCCCGTGTGAAGTGTTAAAACTAACAGCACTTTGTTTTTGCACACTTCCTCTCATGGTTGTTGGAACAGGCAGTGTATCAGAAACACAGAAGTTGGATTCTGCGACAGCCAGGACTTCCTCCTGTTAAGCCTCCTGTTGGTGAGTAGAGAGCAGCGTAATCCCTGGAGATCATCCCTGTACAGCAGGGTGAAGCTGTAACAGGGCTAACAGTGTGGGTTTAGACCATGCCAATTTACATGGGGAACTTCAAAATGACAGAAATAGTAGCTCTGTACCCATCAAGGCGATTTTGGTTTTTAGCTGACCATAAAGAGGGCTGTGTGTCATTTTTGTTCTGTTAACTTTTATTTTTATTAGTAAGTTAGTTGTACTTAAATTCATCATGGAGAGTTGGTACCTGTACTAGGACATCTTAAATCTTTTTACCTCCCCTCTCCTGTCTCCCTTGTGTCTCCAGTTTTAAAGAAAAACACGTTCGTTCCCATTTTTTCCTAAAAGCTAAAAATGCCTACTCACTTGAAGTGATGATCTGCTGATGCCATTGTTGGGGGGTGGGCAGGAAAGCAGCAACTGAGGAAAAAAGCACCCCAAAAGCTGACCACACCAGGAGGCCAGAGCCTGAGATTGGGAAGCATCTCTTCCACTGTGTTTATACACAGTGGTACACAGCTCCTATACTGGCTTTGTTACAAACACACATGTACGCACACATATATGGGGAATTGAACCCAGAGTGTTCCCACTGTGCTATATCCCTAGCACCCCATCCCCTTTTTAGTGGGGACAGGGTCTTCCTAGATCATCTAGTCCTTGTTCAAACTTGCAATCTTTCTGCCTCAGCCTTCTGACATACGGGATTGCAGACGTGCCACCATACATGGCAGACATTTTAAACACAAAGCTGCATTGCCATGCCTGGGCGCCAGTGAGCCACTTGTGTCCTCATGGTCTAGAGCTCTGACTGACTGATGGCAGAGGTGTCATTGACCCGTGATCAGAACCCCAGCTGGAGCTCTGCCTACTGTGCTTGTGTTCAGTGCCTCAGCTGGAATCTGGGATGGGCTCCATAGTCTTTTAACTTTAACTTTTAAAACTGTCACAAAATGTAAAACCTCTCTAGTCCATGAGCAGGGTCCTCAGTGTTCTGTCTGCTGACGCTCCAGCAGGGAGGAGGCAGGAGGCCTGGGGAAGTGGGCCCCAGCGTGTGTGTCTGAAGTCATGGTCCTTTTCCAGGTGGTTTGTGTTAAGAGAGGCTTTCTGTTTGTTTTTATCTTCCAGTTTTCCTGCACTACTTCTACAGATGATATGCAGCATTTTGAATCCAACAGAGACTACGTTTTTTAATTCAGTCGAATCGCTATCTGTTAATACTTGTTATATGGACTCCTAAGATATTTTATAACAGAGTTTTTAATTAGTGAAAAATTCATCAATAACATAGAGAAAATATTTTAGAATTTAATGTTTCTTCTATTTTTGTAAACTTAGGACTTTTCATTTATATAGTTACTTACTTTTTCATCTATGTTTAGGCTATAAATATCTCTGGAAGCAATTCATGTTCTTATATCTAATTTTAGTCTTTCAAATGGATGTACTGTAATGCTTGTATGTATAAACCCTATGAACAAATACACGGCTTTTGTAAATTGTGCACATATTGTAATTATTACTATTTAACTTTTTAATGATAAGCCATCCCTGAAAAAATTAGTTTACTACACTTTTTTTTGTCTTTTTTGTTTTTATCGGTACTAGGGATCAAACTCAGGACTGCCTGCTTGCAAGGCAGGTGCTTATGCCACTGAGCTAAATCCCCAGCCCAGTTTACTACATTTATAAAATTGTTGTGACATAAGCAATGTGCATTATCTTTCACCTTGCTCTACATCAGTCATTTTAAAATCAGGAGACTTCATTCCAAGCAGTTGTCATATTTTGAGGTTGACTGACCTTAACTGTTCTTTTTTTAGCAAGAAATCAGAGTCTAATAAAGTCGGGACTGAACCGTTGCACCAGAGCACTATAGAACTTTCTTAGCACTGGTTTCCTTTTCCCCATCCTGTCTCTGGACTTGGGGAGCTTGTTTTCAGAGACTTGACCAGAAGCCATGAGCTTGGAGCTGCTCTCAGCAGGGCTGGAGTGGCCAGGGGTGGACCCCAGCCTGGCACCTTCCCTGCCTCTTTCCTGTGAGCATGTGGAAGGTGCCTCCAGCTATTCTTAGAGGACCAATCACTGAGCACTGTGCTCACATCTCACAGACATTGGTGCATGAGCAGATGAGAGCAGGAAACCCTGAAAATAAAGTTGTACAACTCTAACTAATCAAGGCCTTATTTTTCATATGTCAGTCACCTTTTTACATTGGTTTATAAACATGTTTCAACTAGTCATACATTTTTAGATTTTGATGACATAGCCATTTTGGATTGAACAAGTAGCAAAAGCAACTTGATTTTCACTGGCATATTAAAAAGCCAGCAAGGAAGGAGTCAGATCAGGGTGCATGTTATTTATTGTGCAACTGATACATGGGTAGAGGCAGCATGCCTTTTTAATTTAGTTTATGCAGGGGCTGGGGATTTAGCTCAGCGGCATAAGCGCCTGCCTTGCAAGCAGGCCGTCGTGAGTTCGATCCCTGGTACCGATAAAAACGAAAAAGACAAAAAAAGAAAAAAAGAAAAAAAAATAATTTGGTTTATGCATACAATTCACTTGTACAATCCATATTACTGCCCTTTTTCTATTAATTTTTGTGGAATTTTCTGAGTATGTAACAAAGTATACAGTCATATACATATATATACTTTTGAACTATTTTAATCACAGTATTATTTATTGCTTTCTTTCAATAAAGTTCTGAATCATTTTTCACTGCCAATGAAGAGTTCTTTGAATAGGCCAAGATTTTGTTAAAAGTTAAGTGCGGCTGGAGTGTGTGTGTGTGTGTGTGTGTGTGTGTGTGTGTGTTACCAGACATCGAACTCATAACCTCATGCTTGCCAGGCAGGCACTCATGACACTGAGCTAAATCCCTGTCTCAGGCACAGCTGTTTTGCTTCCTGCTCCAGGCAGGTTCTCTGAAGGTAGTGTCGCTATGGAAATCACCGGACAGAAAGCTGGATGACATAAGTGTAGCTGGGCATGAGGCAAGAGAAGATGGGGTCCTGCTGAAGATTGGGCCTGGTTAGACCAGGGCGGGGAGGTGCCCCCAGCACAGTTGGGGGTGGGACACTGACAAGCTCAGCTTTGCCTGCTGTGTCAGACCCTTTGTTCATACAGTGTTACCCTCCTGTTTTCAAGTTTCACATGGCGCATCTCAGAGTAATCATGGGTTTGAGCTCTTGGTTCTCAGCCTTTTTCCCTGCAAACTGTGTGTTTTTGAATGGGGTTTGCAGAGCAGAGAGAAGAGGCCAGACTCTCCAGCGTTCCTTGGTGTGTCCCTGGGTGGTAGGTGAGTAGATGGTCCATATCCTAGTGCTATTGCTGCTGCTATTCTGGACACCCACATATCACTTAATGCATTTCAAATATCCCACATGCATTTATGTCTCATTTCCTGGCCTTAATTCCCTAGTGACAATGATTAGTCAGTGATTTTGCCTTCCAGTCATCTGTCGTATTTCATGAGGGAATTTACCCCAAGGATCCCAAGAGCCATGGCTGCTCGGGCCCTGGTAGAATATACATCATATTTGTAGAACCTGCATGTGTCCCTGCATAGATGCTTTGTGTCCTCTCTGGATAACTTACACTTAATACAGTGGCAATGCTATGGGAATAGTAGTTTGCTCTTTAGGAGATACAAGAAAAAACATCTGCATGTATTCAGTACAGATACAACGTCCCTCACCAAGGTGCTGGAGGTGGAATCCAGGGCCTTCACACTAAGCTCTGTCTCCGGCCCTTTGTATTTTGAGGCGGTCTCAGTAAGTTGCTAAATTGCTTAGGCTGGACTTAAACGTCAGCCTCACAGTGCTGGAAGTATAAGCACACATCAACAAACCAATTCAGATGCAGATTTTTAAAGAAATATTCTCAGTCTGCAGTTGGTTCACTCCTTGGATGTAGAACCCATGAGTACAAAGGACCTGTGGTGCTACTTGAGGACAGTTTTTCAGACCCGTGACACCTGACAGAGCAGGAACACACAGTGGGCGGAGGTAGCAGAAGGAAGCAAGCAGTTCCTCTGGGAAGTCCTGGAGAGTCCTCACCTCTACAGCTTGCAGGGGTGGCTCTCAGGGGTGCCTTGGGTCACCTCCACTCAGCCCCGCCTGGGCTGCTCCCAGATGGAGGGTCTGAAATCTGCTCACACTGTTTGGGGGTTTGTTCAATTGAGGCATCCTATCTTCCTCTAGGAATCCACATGTGAACTGTTCTCACGCCTCAAGGACCCCAGTGAAAACCATCCTGTGTCACATGAGAGCCTCACTCGTCTCACCTGTCCACAGTGTTTGCCGGAACTGGCTGATTAGGCTCCTCCCTGGCTGATGTTCTTGTCATACATTCCATGCACAACAGCCACAGGGATCTTGGTACAGTGCAAGCTCTATGAAGTCTCTCCTCTGCTTGACTTTCTCCAAAGAAGTTCCTATTTCTTTGACAATACACACCAAAGTCCTTGCTGTCCCGCGTCAGCTCCTTGATGACCTTGTTCCATCTCTGTCATTGACCTGGTGCATCCCTGCATCCTGGTCATGCCCAGCTTCTTTGACTTCTTCCCTGGCAAGACCTTTTGTGTCTCAGGACCTTTGGACATGCTGTTTCCTCTGCCTGGAAAACTCTTCCCTTCTCATCTTGTTCACTCCAGAACTGCAGATTTTGCCTCATATGTGAATTTCTCCGACATATCTGAATACCTGACTACCTAGATATGTTCAGGTCCTATCTGCTCACCAGTAGAACTCTTATTAATTTCTTTATAACATTCGTCTCATTTCCATATATATATATATATATATGTACATTAATGTGTCGGACCCTCCTCCTCATTTGGAAGGCTCCTGGGGGCCAGTCCCGCGTGGCTTGTTGATCTTACTATCCCTGGCACACATCTGCCTTCTCTGGGTAGACACAGGAATAACTGACAGATGAGTGTGTGCAGAGATGGCTAAAGAATGGAGAAATGGGTGTGGTTGGACAATGGACGAGTGAGTAAATGAGTGATGGGTGTGTGGGTGATGGCTGGAAGAATGAGTGGAGGGATGAACGAGGGCTGGAGGGTGTAGAGGCATGTTCCCTCCTGCAGAATGGTCACAGTCCCTGAGTGCGAGTCCTCAGTGCTCGAGGGATGGGGCACTACCTCCCCCTTGTGTGGCTCATTTTTCCCTTCTCGCCAGGGCGGGACTATGAGTTCAGAAACCCCAGGCTTGATTGTCTACTTTGCAGCTCTCTTAACATACCCGTTCTACGAAAGAACTTCCTCCAGCCTCCACAGGCTGGCCCGCGCCTGTGGCTTCCCAACAGCCCCAGCCCTGGTGCGGACAGGGGGCGGGGCCAGGGCGTGACCTTGCGCAGACCCGGATGCGGCCCCGCCCCTGGCGAACCGGAAGTGAGCGGGCTCTGTGAGAGCACGGGTGAGTCGGGACTGTGGCGGACCTACGGGGATCCCGTGGCATTGAGCGGGCGAGGCTCTTGCGGCTGGGACGGGCAGCCCCAGCGGGCGGTGGAAGCAGCGCCCGGAACAGGAAGGAAGCGGCCGTCTCACCGCGCTTCCGCTTGCGGTTTTGAGCTGGTCGGGGCAGAGCAGGCGAGGCTATCCTGTCATGCATCCGTCCGAGGCGTCCAGCGGGTAGGCGGGCTCGGGTTTCTCGGTAGGGGGCCAGGAAGTGAGGTGGTCGGGATCCCAGGCACTGGTGGAGCGGGTCTGGAATGGGCACCTGGGCGGAGGAGGAGCTCGCGGGGAGTGGGTCAGGACTCTGGGGCGGAGGGGCCTGGAGACCGAGGTGCTGGGGCCCCCGGGAACTAGGGAGGTGTAGGTCTGAGGGGGAGGGGCTCGCGGGTCAGGGGGTCCTGAACCCCGGAGAGAGACCCTGCACCAGAGGTGTTCGGGATCCCAGAGGGTGGCATAGGTGGATGGGGTCGGAGTGGAGAGGCGGAGGTCAGAAGTGCTGGGGAAGAGGTGGGAGCCTGGGAAGGGGTGAAGGTCGGAGGGCGCTGTGTGTGGAGGTCGGGCTTGCGCGGGAGTTCGGGATCGGCCATGAGCACCTGAGAGAGGTTTGTAAATGGGGTCAGTTGAAATGCTGCGGCGCAGGGGAGCTGGGAATCTTGAACAGGCCCTCCCTCCTGGGTGTGTGCCAAGGCACCAGAAAGGTGCTTGGGTGTGTTTCGCTTCTGTGTTTCCGTGGATGGGATAGGTCTGGCACCAGAGCAACCTTAGCCGCCCAGCTGGAGGGTTTGGGTGGGAGGGGCCCTGTTGGGGCCACTGGAGGCGGAATTTCTGTTTTTGGCCATGCACCTGAGGTGCCTGCAGGATATGCTCAGTTTTGACTTGGCTGGGCGTTCTGTCAGGAGTGTGACCCAGGAGACCCTAACAGCTGATGCAGATAGCAGTTCTGTCCAGCTGGCCTTGCCAGGCTAGGCTAGGCTGTGGAGAGGGAGGGCTGACTAGTCCATTTCTGAACTACAGTGAGTCACCCACTCCAGGGCCTTGAGTCAGTGCTCCTTCTCTCTCTGAGTAGGGAAAGTATGTCAGAAGAAATTGAAGAAACAAGGAAGCAGCCTTAGGTTTTAGGGACTTTGAGGTATGCAGGAGTAAAGAGCTGGGGGATACAGAGCTGTTGCTCATATCAGGTCTCCAGTAATTGTAAGTTTATCCTGTCTAATGATGACATCCTTTTTTTTTTCCTTTAGTGCTGGAGTTTTTTAACCTGGGGCCTTGAGCATGCTAGGCAAGTGCTCTACTACCTCCCCAGCCTTAAAAACATTTTTTTGAGACAGGGTCTTCTAATTTGTGCAGGCTGGCCTTGAATTTGAAATTCTGCTTCAGCCTCCCCCCTGAGTAGCAGGACTACAGGCATGTGCCACTGTGACTGTTGAAAGCTGACTTTTAATGGGACCTGTTTTTAAAGCATTTTACATTTAGAGTAAACAGACTTGGTGATTCAGACATTTGACCTACCCCATGCAGTAGGTGCTCTGGCATGTGGTTGAATGTGTGCTTCCTTACCAGTGCCTTTAGTGCCCTGAGTCGCACTGTTCCTTGACCTGGGCAACTGATAGCAGCAGACCGAATGCCCATCAGCTTGTCTTTCACTGGTGTCTGTGCCAAGCAAAGCCACTGCTCTCTGCTTAGGCATGAACCCAAAAGTATGTGCTCTGTTATAAGAGGCTTCCTCTGAGTAAGAGTGGGCCTTGTGACATCTACTGTGGCTTCAACAGATGCTTTTTTGCTCCTTTTTGGCTTTTTTCTGAGCTGTCTGCAGTGAAGTTCAGGGAAAGCCGATTCTGAATGGGTGCTTTTACCCCATGTCTTACAGCATTCTTTCCTAGCAGAGTTTTTCACCCTGTTTGTTCAAGGCAGGATTATTTTGTCTCTCCACACTCTGGGGGGGGGGGGGGCTTTTTTTTTTTCTTTTTTTTTTTTTGCGAGAGAAGTTTGTATTAATGGTGTTTGGTGACAGTCTTATCTTTGAGCAGTAATTTTTTGTAACAGTTTTAATGAAATATAATTTGCATGCCATACCCTCACCCATTCAGAGTGTATAAGTCAGTGGTTTTCATTCTATTCTCGGAGTTGTGTGGCCCTCAGCGCTATGCACTTTGGAACTGTGTCTTTAATTCAGCAATCCTAGACTGGCTGCTCCTGTTGTCCCAGCTACTCAGGAGGATGCAGGATTGCTTGAGCCCAGCAGTTGGAGGCCAACCTGTGCAACATAGCCA